TTGCGGGCTCAAATATGGCGCTCTTCTATTGCTATTTTTCGCGAATTGATTATTTCTTTTCGGCGACATAGAAGCTGTATCAGAGTTCAAAGTTGAATTTATGTGATCTATGTACGTTGTAGTTTTATATGAAAAACGGCAATTTTTGGGGTCAGTTGTCCTTTAAGATTTAACGTTACTTTTTGCGTGACGAAAAAACGGACGTCCTTGCAGAAGCGTCTGCAGCCTAAATCCCTTATGATTACAATATCCTCAATAGCCTGACTCCTCAATCAACCAGTGATAATCTTAGTATGCCCGCACTGCAAGATACTGACAATTATACTAAATTATTTGTTGGTTCGGTAGAATCTTCCCAAGGAACAACAAAAGAGCATCCAAGTAAAGCTGCGAGCCAGTCAGGAGCTCCTCGAGCTGCGTCAACAAAGCAGGGTAAGCAATGGTAATCCAAAAATCCAATCCAACAAGGAAAGAGGGGCATAGCTAGCCGATCTCTAAGTTTGCGGTCAAGTTCCTAGCGAATCCATTCCCTTGTTGAAAGAGTACGATTGCGATAGTCAATATCTGAAGCAGCTCTCTATCGGAGAAGAGAAGAGAGATTTTTTAAGTCTGTATTTCAATTATTCTTTTTCATTTTAGGATTCATCCACCAATAACTCGCGAAGAAGCAGCGTAGACCTAACTTTAACAACCGAACCACCCTCATTAACGGTTTCCCCGTCAGCCAAGCCCATGCATTCCCAGCATGGCGAGGCTTACGATGTGGAGATAGCAAAGACTTCCGAGGGACTGGGGCTTACCCTTGAAGGTGGTTCTGATACTTCGCCGAGAAACGCTCCTGTGAAGGTCAAACTGGTCAAGGTAATTAAACCGAAATTTATCCTCTTTTTTTCGCTTGCCGTCACCTCGTCATAATATTTGTTGAATTAGTAAATCCTGTACGGCATCGTACTAACTTCTCTGCCTTCTTCCCTGATCGTTAAACTTTTTGCCCGTCGTTAGACTTCTTGCCTCCGAAAAACCGACAATTAAGTATAGTTATATCACAGGTAGCCCAAGCTAGGTTTCTGTGGTGTCATATTATAAGGAAATGTATTTGGGGAGTCCTTGAAAACCTCAATAAAATCGTCAAATGTGAAATAAAGTAAAGAAATCTTAGCTGATCTTTGAAGAGTAGCTCCTCTTTCGCCCTGTGTGCTTAGATTCTGGATCAAGCCCGTTTTAACGTTTTTTCCTCGCCATACATTTTCATGATAATGGCACCACGGAAACCTACCTTGGGCTATCTGTGGTTATATCAGGTACTCTCGAGCCTAGTATGTTGCCAGTGCCTTTTTTTTCGGAACATGATGCGAAATTTGTTTGGCTGTGAGACTCGATCCAGCGAGATGTGACACACCCATACTCCATCCCATCTCCTGGAAACAATTTTTGTTGAGGGTATCTATTAAGTGTACGTGTTGTTACCTCAGCAAAACAGTGGCCGTTTTATGTGGAAGCCCACGTTTGCAGCGTCTTTCTTGGAGCCGGATAAGTCGTGATCAATCAACTTGTACGTATCTTCACGGATCAAAGTTTTTGCACTCTAACTATTCCAGGATATTGCACCTTCGCACCGTTTAATTATACTTTATTAATACTTTTAATCGATACGAAAACTATTCTTAAAGACTTTGCATTGCACATGGCACCTTCAAAGCATGATTGTTAAAATAGTTATAAGTAACATGACATAAAATATGAAATGAGTAAAAATATTGCACTTTCGTGACATACGTGACCATGATTGTTAAAATGGACTCTTCTCAAAATTATCTTGAATGCGAGGCTAACATGAAAAGAAAAAAGAAACCATACTTTTTCTCCTTGGAATTTGTGGCATTTCTTTCGTATTTCCATGTCAGCCTTTTATTCAAGACGATTTTGAGAAGGGTCTATTATGGATTGACATGACATAAGATGAAAATATAATATGACATAACGTGACATAACAACGTGACATGACATAACGTGACATAAAATAACAAATTTTACACGGAATTGCGTGATAGTACTAATTTCCAGAGCAATTGTAACTTTGTTCATTGGTTTTGATATTCCAGGAAGGACCTTACGCAGCCTACGCGTGCGGCAAACTACGACCAGGTCAGACAGTACTACAAATCAACGATACATCTATCCAAGGCATGACCAATGCTATGGCTATACTGACGTTACGTCAAGCATACACTGATCCTGAAACTAAGACACTAATATTAGTAGTAAAAGATCCTTAAGTAAATCTTATTCCACAGGTAACCCAAACGAAGTAGTTTACCAGTTTTGTATTTACTACATAAATAATTTCTAAATAGAACACCTAGGTTTTTGTGGTTCACTGCGCGTTTAAAAAACAAATGTTATTTCCATAGTATGAATAAATTGCTGATCACGTGGTGTGTGATATAAAATATTAAACAGCTTACCATAAGTGGTTTGGGTTCCCTGTGTTTTATCATAACCAATGACGTGGTAAGCATTAGGCATTCTGGATCTCAGTAGGCACCGACTATTATTTGGCGATTAAAGCATTTTATACTACACTGATATTTTTTGAAACGTTGACCAGTGTTGTCGTCGGTTTACAAAGGTGGTCGCTTTAGATAGGTGGTCGATATTAAGAGGTTTAGCATCAGATTATTTTTGACAAAATTTTATAAAACAAGATATAAAATTCAGTGAAGATTTCGCAAAAGTGTAGAGTTAAAAAGCACTTTCCGCTAAATTTTCCCAGGCAAATCAAACAATGTTTTAATATGATGCATATCTTTTGGAAAAACATAATTTTTAGAATATTATTTTTAGAGCACAGCTCATTTCAGATGTTTTTTATTTTTTAATTTATTTGATAAAAATAGTGTGCAGTATATGGTATTAATAGTATGTGGATATTCAATGTAAAGTGATCCACTCCCAGACTTGTATCCAAAATAAGAATTTTTCAACTATATATAATTGTTCTTGACTTCGACGCTTTGAAAATCGTTTTTCACCTCAATCTCACCTTTTTGAAATTGTCCTTCACTTGATACTGAATCTCCCATTTCAGATATCACATTTCTCGTTTCTGTATTTTTACAATCTATTTATTAATATATCACGTGTCTTTTAGAATTGACTCATATTTTGAGATATTTATTTTCTGCGTAAGGTAGAGTGAAAGCTACTGTATCACTGCTAACATTGAATGAATAAACGCTAGTACAATTCAGTGTGATTATTTGATGAAGTAGAATAATATGGCTAACTGTATGTAAGGTGGCTCGGCAAAAATCGGGTTTCCTGTGTGATGATTGCGTTTGCGGCTGGTTTTCATTTGAGGCGCGCGCGAGGTCAACGCCCTCGAACGCCCTCGCGCGTTAGTTCGGATCAGCTAAATAAACAGAAATAAAAGTGGGTCCAGTTCTGGACTAGTTTTTCTTATGGTCCAATTGCAAATTCTTGAATTACATCTTCTCGTTTTATTTGTGATGAAATTATGAAGACAGAAGTAAAGTTGGAATAGTATGGTCCATGATCATAGTAAAAAAAGCCCTAGAAACGGCTCTTAAACTCATTCCATTTACCGTCATTAAGAGCTTGTCTCATCTGTTCAAAAAACTTGGAGTATTGGTGCATATTGTGCCTACAAGAGAAGACGTTGAAGTAAAAATGCACATTTCGTCAAATCACAATGGCCGTCAAAAAGCCATTTGAATGAAGGAGAGTTCGACCAATCAATATACATTCAAAGGCGCGCTTTATCCAATCGCATTGCTAGAGAAGCCATCTGAAGGCTAGAGAGGTTTAACCAAACAGACTATGTGAAAGAGCACTCTATTCAATCACAATGCTTGAATAAAGAAGCCATTAAGGGACAAGGTAACAGCCGTACCGACCCCACCCACATACAATTATTAGTCGCGTTCTAATAAATGATCTTAAACCTACTCACATCATAAGTAAGACCTGTGCAAGCATTTCCTTGGTAACAAGAAGATGGTGAACGTACGCCCGCGAGTGACTTGTACAGCAGTAACACCCACAAGAGTCTATAGAACTCATATCGCTTTTAAACCTAAAAAGAAAGGGATGTGCATTATTACTTACTAAACAACTTATTTTGCCAAGCTGAAAAAGCGCAGGGACGTCGTACTGTTCGACATGACGTCGTAAAACCGGAAGTTAAAATTTTGTAAGGAAGTCAATATCATACCTTGTATCGTGTAGGTCGATTTCGTATTTAGTGGAACTAGGTAAATTTTTCTTATTTCCTTCTTCGTTATCATTATTTTTGTCCTTGTTCTCCTTGCTTTCTGTTTCTGGTGCAGTRGTAGCCATGACGCTTTCTATGTGGCTTGATTCTGGTTTAAACTTCTTGTTTGGCGATGGAAAAATCAAGGCGCAACCTCTTTCACTTACTTGGTAAGGGAAACTGAAAATAAAGAAGTGCAAAAATAAAGAAATAGAAGATGCGCGCTTTGTGCAGTTGTAAAGCACGTAGTGATTGGTAGTACAACGAGAAAAGTGGAAACGAAGGACGATATGTTTATAACAGTTTGGTTCATACCATTGACGTCCACCAACCTGGCGGTTATGATGTCATTTATAAGCATGTGATCACGCGATATTCGATAGTCTTACCTGGAATCAAAGACATCGATGCCACATTCAACAGCTTTTATAATATCGTCTAAGAAAAGAAAGAAAAATTGTATTCATTTTGAGTTTGAAAAGGAAAACACAAGAAAATGGAAACCAAGACCTATAGACCCCTTGCAGCACTTTGATATGTAGCTCAATCTGGGGGACAAAACAAAAGAATTCCAATCTCCTGAAAATTGGAACCTATTGTTTTGTCCCCCAGATTGAGCTGCATTCTGAAGTGCTGCAAGGGGTCTATACAAGAGTCTGGATGAAAATATTTTCTGGACAACTAAAGATACCTGGTGTTTTTATGCCTTGAATGAAACGAGGTTTGTTTTCTGGTAATTCGCTCTAGAAAAGTAATTCCATAAAAAAAGTAAACAAATGGAAAACCTCAGCCAGACAATTATAAAGTATAGTCTAGAGCTGGACTTACTTTTTTCGATGGGCGCGCGGTGAAGACAAACCAAGTAGCCGTAAGAAACTGGCAAGTCTTCATTTTATTTCGTGCACCGACGGTTTTATTTTTCATTTTTGAAACATAAATTAATCAGTTGATGAGAAAAATGAGTCCAACTCTGGACTAGGAGAAAGCTAAATGTTTTCTCAAAAGTCTCCAAACAAAATACGGCCACCTCTTGATGGTCATACATACCACGGTTCTTGTCAACAGGTTTGTCCAATCATCTGCCGAACCATCAAATCCTTCCAACACAAAACCTTTGAAAAACATTAAGCAGACACTTAACAATCATATCCAATGCGTAACTATTATATTCATAACCATAGAGATCAGTGGTGAGCATATTGATAATGAATTCAAAGGATACACTTCATGAAATATTACATCACTGACCTTCTACCTGTCGACTTGCAGTTTCCTTTGCAGATCTTATGCGTTCTGATATCGAATCCGATCCCTCTATTGCTCCAAGCAAACTACAGTTCTCAAGCGCCTGCAATAAAAATGCATTAAAAACTTTATTTAAAAAGTTGCATTAATAAGTGATTAAGTGCATTAAACCGAGATATAATTTCTTTTAGCAAACAACTGATAAAATATTTTAGTAACTGTTTTATGAATTCTGTGTTAAGGTTATTTATTTGAGCTTTCTGTAGAATGCCCGAAGTAAAATATGGGCTTTTTTGCTATCCTTCACAAATCGCCAATTGGTGTTTATGTGCGCATGTGTTTGGTGCAGCGACTCGCAGCACATACCAGATCCCAGAAAAAAGTTCTTAGTAGCCCGAGTACACGCTCTGACAACGTCTAATTTACAGCTAATTTTAGTAATTAAACTTTCGTTTCATTTACTTTATTTTCTTCTTTGAACGTAACTATCTCGTCCAGGTATTTTAATGTTCTGTCCACTGATTTCTTGATTCTTTTCGGTGTTTGTCCTTTGGAAGGAATCGTGTCACACAGACATTCTACAACGTTGGGTCTGAAGGATAGAAGCGTAGAACTGAACTGCGCAACGTCAACCTAAACACACACACACAATTTATTTAGCGGATATGAGAAAAAATGTTAGTGAATCAGAATTGAGAAAATTTGCAAAACTGAGGTGCCACTTTTCCTCTCCTCAAGGATTTCCAGGCCACCAAATGAAAAAAACTTGCTCTCTTGTACATTTGGAAAGAATTCAGCCAAGCTGAATCGGTCTTTTGCTTCTACAATACTCAAGGGAATGGTATTTAATGTGGGCTGAAATGGGAAAACTTTGAGCCAAGATGAAAAGCTCTTTGGCTTATTTAATGTTTAAGGAAATGTTCATGTGGTCTAAAATGGGACAACATTGAGCCAAACTGAATCGCTCTTTTGCTTCTACAATACTCAAGGGAATGGTAATGTGGTCTAAAATGGGACAACTTTGAGCCAAGCTGAAAAGATCTTTGGCTTATCTAATGTTCAAGGGAATGGTAATGTGGTCTAAAATGGGACAACATTGAGCCAAGCTGAATGGGTCTATTGCTTTTACAATACTCAAGGGAATGGTCATGTGGTCTGAAATAGGACAACTCTGATTTTAAACTGAATAGCACAACACTGACCTTTTTACTGAGCTACTCTCAGTTAAAAACGTACCTTTCTTCTACCACCAGCATTCCACACAGAAACAGACTTATCCTCATTGTAACCACTGGGTAGATCTGCTGCAGGGTCTTGGACAGTCAGAACACTTAAAGTCTTCAACAACAAAAATTTCATTTCATTATTGGATTTAAACCCTTAGCCTCCTTTGTAGGTGTCCTAAGGGAAAGCACTTAATATGCCGAGGTGAGGGTGGGGAGGGGGGATGAAGATATGTGGGTTGCTGGATGGAAGGGGAACGAAATTTTTTGGTACATGAAAGGGGGCTCTAAAAAATTGTCGTGCGTACAAGGGGGCCTTTCAATTGGAATTTGAAAATTTTCATTGGTTGTTTGGATAGTTAAAATGCTGGGGGNGGGGGAGAGGCGGAGGGTTTGGGAGGGAGGGGGGCTTCGATAATTAAGTCCTAAAGGGGGCCTGTAATATTATCCTTGGCATACTAAATTAACTTTCCCTAAGGACGCCTGCAGAAAAGGCTATTAAAAACTTCCCCAACCCAAAAAGAGCTTCCGGTTAATTTGTTAATTTGAGGGAATCGAGGATTAAGGAACCAAGAAATGTTGTTTAAATCTCTTTAGGAAAGTTAAAAGATATTTTCGGGCATGTATCCATGCGTAGCGAAATTGAAGTTCCATTGGGTACCCTGTGTACTAACCTTCTGGCCAATAAATGAATGAATTCCTTTATCAAGTCCTTTGACTAATTCAATGCTTGGCTGATCTACCCTGGATCGAAATTACGCTTTGTTGTCATGATTTGTAAATAATATAAGAAAAGAGCAAAAACAGACTGGTCATCCAATGGTATATATTAACAAACTCAGCCTGAAATGCACACGGATGACCGCGTGGCCTAATGGATAAGGCGTCTGACTTCGGATCAGAAGATTGGGGGTTCGAGTCCCTTCGCGGTCGACTTTTCATTTTACTATTAACTTTTTATTTTGAAATTATTTTTTTTACCTCACGATCACACTACTTAGACTCTTTTATTTAGCAGAAAGGAAAATAAAACTGGATTAAAATAACATAACTTAATTTCCAAATTTTTTTTTTTCAATGAAAACCATAAAAATGACCGTCAATAAATGAGCAACATATCTCTCTTCTAACTTATTTACCCATATTATATTAAACTTAATATGCAATATTTTATACTCACAGTGTTGGTAGAGTTAGTTGTATTGGAGTAAAATAGTTGTGTTCAAGTAGATCGTTCCATATAGCAACGTGTGGTATGGCGCCTGACCGTGTGTATAACAAGAACATCGGAGTTTCCAAGGGAATTCTGTCGAATTGGAGCTCGCCTGAGCGACAACCTTCTCTCTGGTAGTTCAACTTTAATTCCATTACTGAGAGAAGCAACTTTTGCAGCGTTTACCTCAAAATACAAAGATATTTTGGTTGTTGAAGAAGGCGGTGTTCGAGAGGAAGCTGTTCAATCCTACCACAGGTATCCCACATGCAGATGTTTTAAAACCACAGGCAGCCCAAACAGCGATTAACACAAACTTTAGACTGCGAGCTAAGTCCTCTATTTCCCTTGTTCACTGTCCGTTTGTCTGTCCGTGTCGATTGGTCGAGGAAGATTGGTTACGAGTCAAAAGTCCCTGGGGGAGGGGGCTGGGAGGGAGGGAAAAGATTTATTATCTCAGCCAATCTCGGTGTTGCAGTGGAACTTATTTGCATGCTATATTTGCAGGCTATAAATCCCAATAGTAACAGATTAGGACAAATTAGAAGACAATGTTTTTCTTTGTTTGTTTCATTTTATTTTCAAAAATCGTCTTTCCGTAGAGGGAGGAATTAACAAAAAGTCGTTCATGATAATTGTCATACAATAATAGTGATATGATCTTCACTTCGTCTATCAGTTTCTATTTTTTGTCTCTTCATTGTTGGGCCAAACAAGTGGATGGCCAGGTCTCAAATCTCTTGCACAAAACGCGAACTGTTCGTCTCTCACCAACAAATTTATCGGTTGCGCTACATAGCGCCTCTCGACGCGGAAGGGCCAGCTCTGCAGTCTCCTTGTTTTTCTTCTCGCAACCCTTTTCCCTCTGCTTTGGAATCATTGTTACTCCGTTTCTGCGCTGCTTTAGTTTATCCGGTGTGGTAGAGTTATCTCCGTTGTTTAGCATTTTGGTCGTATGATGAGTGACAGTAACTTTAATGTTGAGTTGCGAGTTGAAAAGCTCATCAAAAAAAGCAAATTAATATACTGCATGAAATTTCACTACAACTTAAATAGATATTAGGCCGTGTAATTGAAAGATTTCAGGTGAATCATTACGCATGCGCAAGTGTTGTATGTTTGTCCGAGTGCGTCATCCAGTCTTTTATTGCGTCAGGACAGATGAAACAACAATCACCTTTAATTTAATTATATCTTATTGATTACTTTATTATCGAGTTCTATTTTTAATAACCAACGTATTTTATCGAAATTACAGTTCTAAATCACGTTTTTTGTCGTATCAGTACTCTTTCCCCTGGCTACCACTTGTGGGTACATCAACTTTTGACGTCACATCTCTTGGAAAATAAGGACAAACCACGCAAATCCATCGTAAATTTGTAAAAGGTATTTGCGTGTGTTTTAGCTAGTTATTTTCTTATTTTGTCATTTTGTTGATTCCCATCTTCAAGAATTGAAAAGGTCGGCAGTAAAGACGAAAGTAGAATCTTGATTTGTAATGTGCAAAACATTATTATGAACGTTTGATGTAACCTTGGAAGATCATGAAATATTTTATCAATATCTTTAATATCAAATACCTTTATCTTAATTACTCTTCCTTGAGAACAGAGGGATAAAGTTCTGTCGCTCGTTTCTTATTAGCTTCTAGACATTTCCCAAGTGAACTATGACGGAATTCTGTGTTCTATAAATAGCGATAACACCAAGAATAGGCCTTTCCCGAGCTGTTATTAAAGAAAACAGAATGAGCAAAACGTTTTTAAAAATCACTTGCCTTCTGTAGCTTTTATGTCACGTTTTAAACTACATTTCGACGGAAAATGCTGTTCTGATTGTCTAGTTTTATTTCGTTGTCGGAGCGAAAAACGTTGCAGCATATATATCTTTTAGATTTAGAGTACAAGACAGAAAATGAATCCATGTCACTCAGTAGTCGCCTTTATTCTTTCTTCAAAGGTAACTTACAAATTTTACAAGCTCTTGAGCAAATCAATATCGAAAAAATCTTTCACTTTTTCCGCGGTTTAGGTGTCCAAATAGATGACTAATAAATTATCATTATTACAAATCTTTGTACAACACTTGATTATTACTGAATTTTCCAGCCTCAAAAATTTGGAAAAAGTAATCATCTAAACTAACTGTTTTACAAAAGATCCCAAATTATTAAGAATGAACGAACAAATATGTAATTTTGATTTGGAGGCACACTATATTTATTATTGTGAAACTCGTTAAATTAGAGCAAAAACTGTCATCGGGGCAAGACAGTAGTTGAAACAGTAAAGCTACTGTTTTTTGTGTTAAGTTCTGTTAAGACGACACTTCTTATTGCTTCAAGAGGTCATTGTTGTCAAAGGGTTGACGGTTATTTTGACCTCTTCGGGATCCTTGGGGCTTGATTCTTCTAAATCTTTGCCTTTTGAGCTTACAACTGCATCATTAGGAGGCTTGGGCGTTGTTGCAGTTGTTGTTGCTCCAGTTGCTACTGTTGTAGCTGTTGTCGTTGCAGTGCCATCTGTTTTTGGCTTGTTCGGAGGAACACCCACATTGGTGTTCTTGGCTTGAGGTCTTGGTTTGGTGGTCCTGGGTGGACGTCCACCCCCTTGGGGAGGTTTCTGAATCATAGGTGTGATACGTACTGGCCCACTTCTTTTATTGGTATTAGGTTTTCCATCCATTCTGTTAGCTTGCTTACCATCTTCTGACTTTGACGAGTCCGTTTTGTTTGGCTTTGGCTTGTTCATGTTATCCTGTGGCTTTTTTCTCGGTAGTTCAATTATATGCGACTTGTTTTCTTCTTTCTTGTCTTTTTTCTCTTGGCTAGTTTGCTTGGGTTTGTTTTCTTGAGACATGCGTGGAGACTTGTTTTGGTGATGCACTCCCGATGTCGGCGCCAGTGGCACTTGCTTATGTTGCAGGGCTTGCCTATGCTGTGAAGACATCTTTATTCCTTCTTGTACTGGTGCATTTTGATGCTTTGAAACCATCGGTTGCATTGGCATCTGCTGCTTGGGATAAGTATTTGGAAAGACCTGCCCTTGTTTTTGGCCTTGCTGCTGCTGTAGGTTCTGTCCCTTAAGCTCATTTGAGCTGCTTGTTTCATTCACAGACGCTGGTGACTTCTGTCTGCTTTGCGGATCTGTAGCAAAAAACATGCGCGTCTCTGCCAGCATTTTCTGGTGCTGCATGGCTTTAAATTGATTGGACTGAGAACTTACAGGTACTTGAGGCGGAAACTGTGGTCGTGTAGAGACAATAGGCACCTTCTGTGTATGGGGCATACGTGGGGCCTGCTGTCGTATGGGTCTAGGCGGCTGTATTGGCCTTGGCTGATGCTGTGAAATATTTGGAGGCATTCCTTGTAGGGCGACAGAGGTAGGTGGTCTCTGGATAGGCCCTGGGAATCTTTGGTTACCCACAGAAGGCTGTGAAGGCCCAACATGTCCATACTGCCTGGGAATCATCTGATGAGGAACTCCAGAGCCTGGCATATGGGGAACATTATGTTGCTGTTGGGAAGGGACTTGACTTGGTTGTCCCTGAGGTCGAATATTCATCGTCTGATGTTGCTGTAATTGTTGTGGTTTAATATGTACAGGCTGTGACTGAAATGGCGTGAACTGCTGCACAGGTGTTTGTTGACGTTGTTGCTGCGAAAGTTGGAAATGACTCATGGGAGCATGCTTGGCAAAGGAATTGGTGCCAGCAGCAAATGAAACGTTTGGATCAACAGGTGACATTGATACTGGTCTGTTGGAGATGTACGACGTCTGCATCGGGGGGCTGTGTGACAGTGGTCCCATATTCGGAGGGCTTGGTCCAATATGGACTAAGTTAGGATTCACAGCAGAGGTCAGTAGACCCATTCCACTGTTAGCAGTCGAACTGGAAGGTGTTGGAGTTGAAATACGTTTTGGAGGCTCGAATGGTTTGGCATTAATATGCTTGACCATTTCAGACTGCGACTGGTTGTACTCTCCGTGACTTGGCTCCATTGACTTTATAGACGTACCTAGCTGACCGTCAAAGCTTGGTGGTTTTGTGTGCAAGGAGAATGTGCTCTGAATCTGTTGAGGTGCTCCGGCAGGTGGAGCGTGCTGTACGTGGGGTTGCTGTGTCATTACATCAGTGAACCCCAAAGCTTGATTCCCCATCATCTGTCGTTGAGCTTGCTGGGACTGTTGATTAAAGTTTAACAGCGTGGCTGTGCCTCCCATGCTTTGAGGATCATATGGCATATACATAGTTTGAGCAGGCGAACCAGATGGACCAAACATCGAGCTATTCATGGTCTTGGGCTGCTGTCCTTGTAATGCCATCACAGACGTTGCTTGTGTTCTTGTAGACGTTGACACATACGATGGGGTTGTTGTCGTGGCAACCATAGTGAGTGACATATAGGGCTGCGACACGGAAAACCCACCAGCAGGGTACAGATTACTATTCAAGAAAGGAGACGGGAACATTTCTTGGGGCGACTGAGCTATAGAAGAAGCGGAAGTCGGTTGGCGCACTTGCATCTGTTGAGACAGCTGATAGTTGTTGGCTGCAACTTGTGCTGACTGGGGCATTGATTGCAAAGGCTGGATGAACTGCTGTGGTTGACGCTGTTGTAGTTGTAAGATTTGAGCTTCAATCTGGAATGGATAGGTATTATGTACATTCTGTCTTAGCAGATGTTCCTGAGGAAGGACAGGCTGTGTGGGAACCATGGACTCCAGATCAGATTGTCCTCTGTCTTCCCCAGAAGCAGGAGCTAGAGATGAAGTCTGTTGTGGTTTGACAGGCTGTTGTTGCTGTTGTGGCTTGACTTTACATACGTTCTGCTGCTCGTTTCCTCCAGGCTTTTTACCACTGTACTGCACTTCTGTGGGTTTGGTTACATCAGCCTTACTAACACTATCCTCTGCATTTTCTCTATACTCGTTCGTCGTGTCAGCGCTACCTTTAACTATAGTACTCCCATCTTTACTTTCTATTGATACTGACGGCGAACTCGTTTCAGGCCAAGATGGCGTGGTTTCCATAGATACTGTTGTGAGGCCAACCGAGGTAGAAGGAGTCTGATGCCAAGCCATATACGCAGCGTTCATCCTCTTTTTCATTTCTGCGAAGATTATTGGTGATACTGGCGTGGGTGGACGGTCTTGTGTTTCTTCAGACGAGTCAGTTATATCCACAGATAAAGGTCTACTACTACTAAACATGCTACCGTCTTCACTGGCTTGCTCTTCAGAGTCAACACTGTAATCTGAATCTTTTCGTGGCACGCTGTCTTTTTCGCTCTCCTGTTGATACGTTTAGAGAAAGAAAAGGTGTGAATATATATGCCATACATTCTAAGAATATTAATGCCTGGAATATTGTTTTTCTCGACAAGACAATTTACTTACAGCATTAGAGAAGTTTCATGTGCAAGAATTTCGAGATGAAAAACACTCAAGATTAAATACTTACTGTAATTGCCTCATCTTTTTCTGTAATTTGTATTCCTTTCTTTTCTACAGGGGTGTCCTCTGTTACGACCTCGCTCCCTTTTTTGTCAGATGAAGATGCATCTGAAATCGAAGACTCCTCTACGACAGGCGTTCTCTTGGTAGTTAAAGTTACGTCTGAAGGTTCGACATCCTGTATAAGACAAACGATGGTCAAACAGTTGTTACATATTCAAATTACACGCTGTTGTAGGGTCGATTTACACGAAGCAATTCGTGTGGTCAGCATGTTGCGCACGAAAGTCAATGGGAAACTGTACCATGTAAATCAGCCTTTGCACACTCTCTTTCTCTCCATGCACTTGCTTTGTTTAAGGGATGTTTTACAGAAAAAAGTCGAAATGACTCATTACGTGGGATCTAAGTACACTCTTATAACTAGCTGGCGCTAATGAGACGCTTTCTTACCAATTGCTTCGCGGTCAGCCGACTCTTCTCTTTCTTGCTCTCTTCTTTAGTAAATTCTTTCTTAGCGCCATCCTCCGTAGTGCTTTTTCTTTTTGATGACTTATCAAACCTCGGTGGTTTTTGTGGTTTGGGCTGCGATTTTTTCACTCCATCGTGGCGTCTTTCCCTCGCTCCACTACTTGCTGTCGAATGCTCTGATTTCTTTTCAGTCTTCTCTTGGACCTCTTCTTGTTCCTCTGTAGGAGCCATCGATTCGATTTCTTTAGTGATTTCTTTCAATTCGTCTTCGGCAGACTTGTCTTCGATGTTGGAATTGATGAGTGAGTTTTGGACAGCCACGACAGTGCTCTATGATGGTGAAAAAACAAAGTTAGTCTTCAAATTTTAACTGGATTCCCGGATTTTAGTAATTCTTTATCTTGTCCTCTCCCTGCCTGGTTTTTACCTGCGACGGAATCGAAGTTGGAAGTAGCTCATCACCAAGTAGAAACCAGAAAAAGAGAGTCGGAATGGCGTCACAAGCGGAATCAAAAGGATCAGGTTTATTTTGCTTCGTTTGTGTTTACGCTTATGACCAGCGGTTTTCACTTGCAGTTACACGCATTAACTTTTTCCGACTTCAATTCCGTCGCAAGCTTTAGTACATAAATTCTTGGCTCTCCAGAAAAACATGCAAACTATAGGTTTGACCCGCCCTTTCCGTGACTACCTCTGCTACTCCCTCTTCCCTATTCCAGCAAGATTAAAGGCGCGATTACACGACACAAATTGCATGGAGCATTGCAGCGTGTGACCTAAAGCGCAATTTGAAAAATATTGCGACACATCATCAGTGTTGCATCAATTGTTGGAAAAAGTAGAATTCGTTTCTACTTTTGGAAACGATCGCGTCTATATAGACCTTGAAGACACGCTTGCAACTTGTGTCGCAACGCTGTTGTGAAACAAGTTGCAGAGAAATTTGAACGTTATATTATACTTACCGGTTGAGTATGCCTTGAAGGTTTCCCACTGCCAACAGCGAGAGGATCCGGGACATTAGAAGCAATAGCCAGACAACTTCCAGGAGCTTTAGCTGGGGTAACGAGACTCAAAGGTTTATTCCATGCATTAAACACGGGTGGAGGTTGCGGTGACGGTGGCCTTTCGACTGTAACGGGACTGTTTCGCTTAGTCGAATTGGTACTCGAGGAATTACTATTGATTCCTGAGCTGACCAGGCCTGTAATTCCTTCCAAGACCAAAGCGGATGATGACTTGGTAGTCATCGCTTTGCCTTGGCTGGTAGAGCCAGATGCATTCTGGTGCTGTTTGCTAAACCTCGGAGGTTTGTTAACTTGGGTTTTCTTGAATTTTTCGGATTTTTCTGAGCTTCTTTGACTGGCTTTTTCCTCGTTCCTCTTTCGTCGCTCATCCTCCTCTCGTTGTTTTTCTTTGAGTTCTTTTTGGGTTCGTTTCGAGGTAACTTCCACAAACCCACTTGATGAGATATCAGATGCATCGTCTGGGATGTCATCTATGCAGATAACACCAGCCACGTTGTGTAAATCGTACAGCTGAATATTCGCTTTTTTAGCGACAGAATCAGTGCGCTTTTGAGTCTTACTCTCGATAGTATCCACCGCACTGTAGTCCGACCTCTTTTCTTCTTTAGGGGTTCCAGAACTTTTCTTGCCTTGCGCCAAGTCCGTACTTTTTGCAGCAGGTAAAGCCCCCTTAGACTCCAAGGTCGTTAACTTGGAACCTTCAACTTTTACCTGCTTTTCGGCTAAAAAAGGATCAGTTTTTCTTGTGCTSGATGGCCCTCCATCTCGACGGCCACCTTGTCTCCCAGACTCGTCACGAGATGAGGTTCTACGGTTTGAGTATTGATCACCTGATTTTGGAGCTCGTTTGTGTGAATCGCCTGATTTGTCTTGTTCTTTTGGACTTTGATTAACCTCGTCTTCCCAATCTTCTGTTGGTTGTATTGACCCGCCATCTCTGTCATCCATATCTCTTGAACTTGGCATCCCGCGGCCACGTCCTCTTCCTCTACCTCTGCCCCTACTTCCGCGATCCCCGCTGCGGAATCCACCACGACTGGAGCTTCCTCTCTGTGCTGCAGCTCTCTCCTGTTGCTTCTGGAACCGCGGAGGCTTCTCATTCTCTCGTCTGGGGCGTGGAAAGCCACCTCCTCTCGCTCTTGAACCTCTGGTCGATCTTACTGGAGTACGTGAAGTAGATCCCGACTGACTAGTGGTTCTTGGTCGTTCTTTTGGCTTTTCTTCTTTATCTTCTACTCTTTCTTCAGACGCAGAAGTCGCTGTGGTGTAGCTACTCGATTCACTTCCACTGTCGTCAACATCTTCTTCATCACTCGCCGGCTCTTCTTTCTTTGGAGTCCTCTGACTGATTCTCCCACTTCCAACCAGACGGCCACTGCCTATGCGTCCTCGTGCAGAACCTGCTCCCCTGCCTCGAGCATGCGGTACACCTCGATGGCTCCTCTCATGACCACGTGACGATCTGGGTGCTTCTCTGATGCGATCCTGATCCCTGGGCTTTATTCTTTCCCGATCTCTATCGCGGTCTCTATCACGAGGTCTATCCTTGTAATAATTATTGTCCTGATCTCGGTATCTGTCTCGTTCTTGTCTGCGATCTTGCCCATCACGAGTTGATCGTTGTGCAGTGAAATGTTCTTCTTCTCTTACATCGCGTGCCGGAAAGACAGCCCTTTTCGTCTCTGCCTTGTTTTCCTTATTACCATCAGTTCTTCTTTGATCGGAGGGTTTCCTCTGAACCCTTTCTCTTTCATCCTTTCTCTCATATCTATCCATCCTTTTCTCTGGTCTGTCAGTTCTTCTTTCTCCTTTTTCTCTCTCGTGAGAATCTTTGGCAGGTTTTTCTTGGTAGGAGGGTTTTCGTTCCTGGCTTTCTCTATCAGGTTGCGTTCTTTCATCTTTCTTTTGTGGCGCTCGTTCTATCTTTCCTTTCACTTCCCGATCCTCACTTGATATCTTATCTGATGTGTCTTTGTTACGATCTTCACTTTTCAAGGGTTCACGTGGTTCACGTGTTCTCTCAGTTCTCTCGTCCTTTCTGTAATCTCTATTGTCTCTCGAATCCCTTCTTTGACGAGTATCTCGCATACCTCGTTGGCGATTATCGCTACCGCCGACTCTATAATCAGATCTTCCACGTGCAATGCCACGACCTCTACCTCGATAACCTGATCCAGGCCTTAATCGTCCTCGCCCATCTGTCTGTCTGTCACGGCTGGTCATCTTGTTCCTTCTCTCTTCGTAATCCTCTTCAGTTCCGTCCCTTTTTCTTTTATGCACTTCTTCGGGTTTTCTGTCGCTAGATCGGTATTCTCGCTTTCGCGGAACTGTACCAGTTTCTTGATCGGACCTGCCTTTACCTGTTGGCTCAATTGGAGTCTTGTCATGTTGTTTTTCGTTCTCTTTCTCTTCCAGTACATCTTTTCTTGTTTCTTTATCGACACTCTTCACCGTACTGTCTCCTGGTCTTCCCTTGTCACGTGCATCAGTTTTTCGGGTCTCTTGCTCAGATGGAGAAGATGTCGTACCAGAATTCGCTCGCTGTCTCGACCCTTTCTCTCTTTCACCTGTACTGTCGAGTGACTTCACACTAGCAACATCATCTCCAGCAGTACTGCTGCTATCTGTGCGTTTCATGATCCTTTTAGGAGCTATAGTTTCTGTGGGTCGGCTTGTTTTTCCTGCACCAGATGGAGACACTGGACCTGAAACCAAGCATTACTTTATTAAAATTCAAACCACAACTTTTGGGCTCATCAAAGTCAGGGCACACACTACAAGATTGAAATGGAATTTAAGCGGAGGGGAGCAAAAAAAGTGTAAAACCCTTGAATCAAGTGAGAAAGCTAAAGAACTCAACTCATGTGATGGTGAGATATCCAGCCCTAGAGCCTGCAAGTGCACTACTGTACCTCTACCCCAACCTTGATTCACCCATTCAAACTGTGCGTGCTGATATATCACATAATACGAACATATTGAACTGAGGGATAAAAAAGGAAATCAGCTTTTAAACTTACCAGAGTCTGTACCATGGGTAGGGTGTACATCCAAGGCTTCTCTTCGTGGTTGTGACATAGGGTGTGTGGCTTGATAAAGCTGCTGTTGCTGGTATTGCTGTTGCTGCTGTTGCCTCTGCTGTTGGAAGCGAGGAGGGATATTTTTCTGTGGGTGTTGGAAGTACGGACGAGATCCACTAGACCTTGATGCATCACTGGAGTCACTGTCATTCCTTCGTCTGGAGGAATCATCAGCTCTGTAGGGTGGAACCTTCTGGTCTGAATGCAGCGGTGCAGGATAGTGCCCAGTCTTCTGGTCTGATGGCAGTTCAGTATCTTTATCATTCTTCTCTCTCACTTCCTCGCCTCTGGTCTCTCTTTCTGACTTCCCAGACTCTAAAGACTCAGTTCTTGGTGTCTCTGCCACGCCTTCCTTAGTTTCTTCAGACGTCTCAGAAGGAGCTCTCCCACGTTTTTCTTCCAGTGCTTTTAATTTCATCAAGGCAGCAGCCTTGGTTTTTGCTTGAAACTCCTGTTCTTCCTGTTCTCTTCTCATCCTGGCTCTCTCTACAGCTGCATGCATTTCTTGCTTACGAGCAGCCCATTCTAATAATGGTTCATCCTCCCTTCTCATGGGTGGACCCATTGCATCTTGCTTGGGTGGTGTTCCCCCGGGGGGTCCCCTCTCAGCAGGTGGTGACCCAGATACTGGGGAGTATTGACCCCTCTGTGGGGGTGGGTACTGCATGTTCCATGGTGCTGAGCCACCATGATAACCTTGACCTTGGGTTGGTCTGTGACCATCAAATGGTCTCTGAGGGGGTCCAGACCTGGCTTCTCTTCCATACTGGTTTTCTCCATATTGTGGAGGCCCTTGAGGTGGTTCTCCCCATGCAGATCTTGGCTTTTGAGGTGGTCTATCAGTATCCTGGGTAAAATTCAAAGAAATTTAAATCATTAGACATTTTAGGATGCATTTCAGGTGGCTAGTTTATTGAGTCCCCAACAGGGTGAGACAAAATACAAAGACAAGAAAAAATGTCCACCCATATTGCACCCTAAAATTTCTATCAAGTCATTTATTATCAAACTTTTTCTGATGGAATATTGTACTCTGTTGAGTATAATTGGATAAAAAGATTGGCTTACTTGAATGATATAAGCCTAAACACTTTGACGTCAAGAGTTAACTGGGTAACATAAACAATGAAAATAGCTGCAAGGCTGTATTTACCTGTGGTCTTTTGTACTGTGCCGACTCCTTGCCTTGGTCAGATTCTTTCTTCGTATCTGATGCAGAGGGTTCCTCTGCTTTCTGAACTTTTTTCTCATCAGTTTCGTGTTTGCTTTTTACCTCTTCTTTGTCACCTTTGCTCTTCTCTTCTTCATCAAAATCCTCAAAATTAAGCTTAGCCGTGTAATCAACTTCACCGTGTGCACCAGCCCATCCCCCATCATCATCTTCATCATCCATTGCTTGTATGTCCTCTGGTCTTAGAACTGCTGGTCTTATCACAGGCTTGTTGTCCATGTCTCTGTCGGCTTCATATCTCTTGTCTATTCGCATCCCTGGTCTTTGCCCAGGACCTGGTCTTTGATACGGTCTATGAGAGTAAATAGCAAGTAGATTATCTCAAGGGTAATTTTTAGATAGCACAAATAATAAAATAATATAAATCTCTTTATTTAAGTGTTTAGTCATTCTAGCTCTTTCGCACTAATTGGGGACACTTTTCACTCACGCACTACAACTACATTCAATGTTCTATACTCTATGTTTTTTAAAGAGGGAGGAAACCAGAGAAAACCCTCGTAGGATAGGAGAGAACAACACATCAAACAAATTCAATTCACATATGGTGTCCACAGGGCTCGAATCAGTGACCTGGACCTTTGGACTCACAGCTGTGAAAGAGGACTCGTTAGCAGCATACTTATGCTACCCAAATATATCTATAGGATCAAAATAGATGTCTAACCTTCCATATTGGTCTTGTGCAGGGTACCCATGGGGTGGTGGTCTGCCTCCTTGTGCAGGATGTTGACTGTTACTGTAATGGTGACCTCTGCTGTGCTGTAATGTGATAAATATAATATACATTTAATTTAAACATTAGATTATCAATAAACATATTGACTAACAAAGATAGAGTGATTTTACTTCACCTGTGAAACAGAAGTAATTGTTAATGTGTAAAAAAAATAGTCAAAAAGGAAAACAATGAAAATAAGATCTACTGAGGTCTACTAAGAGGAAAACAAAAAAAGAAAATAATAAAAATAAGATCTACTAGATCTACTAACTAATTTCTGGATTTAGTAAGACCACTCTAAAGTTTAAATGAAACATTGGAAAATGATTTTCTACAGGGAATAACGTGGTGTGAAATGGTAGACAACACACCTAGCTAATTGGTCTGATGAAAAAGAGCAAGTGCTCTAGTTGGAGGGAATACCTTGTATATCAAATATAAATAACTTCATAATCTTACCTGGAAATCTGGAGGTGGTCGCCTATGGTAGTCCCCTCGTCCTGGTCCACCATTGAACATGTCATGATCTCGACCATAGCCATGTGAAGGGGGACCTTAAATTGTAACATTTACATCACTAGTTAATACTAATATTCTACAAATGAAAAACACCTACAAAAAATGCCAGATTTTAATTTTTTTATTTTGCAACATTAGGATCACTTACCTGGACCACTGCGCTCCATCCACGGAGGCTCGTCTGAAAAATAAAATGAGATGCAAATATAAGATATATGTAAAGTACATTGAGAGCAGGGGTACATAATTGACAGGTTGAGTGAACGTCACTATAAGGAATGGTTTCTCCAAGCTGGATATGTACCTTTACCACATGGCAGCCATGCTTATTCAAACAAGAATATAAACCCTGCTTATGCCATGAAAACTTATCTTGGCACATTCTAATGTACGCACACTGGAAAACAATCTAATAGTCTGGTCAACATAAATAATTTTAATACATAATTAAAAAAACAAATGGCTACCACATGCGAAAGTTCCACCCATGCTCTAGTTTTCTCGCAATGGGTTTTGCAATTTTAGTCGAATTACTGCCGTTTTCCACATTCTGTGAACTCGGTAGTTTGGAGCTGCATGCTGAATTTTGGTTTTTCACTACCTTCAATCAAAAATAATCAGTCGATACCTTTTAGGTTTAAAAAAATTCAATTTCACAATAAGCCCTTTAAACGTCCGAGTTTGCAGAATATCAAAAAACCACAGTAATTGTCAGCACAAAAGGGAATTTAAAATTGTATTGCTGGTGCAAGAAAAATATTGTTAGTTTTTGAACAGCTTTGAGATTACTTACGAGTATTTCGAATAATAGGAGCTTGGCCATGAGAAAATTCTTTTCTTTCTGGTTTTGTATCTCCATTGTCTGGCCCACCCAAGGTTGGAAACTCCCGATTGAAATATGGAGTTGGTTGGTGAGAGTAAGGTTTTGCTGTAAGAAAAGAATTTCAATAGTGATTATTTAATGCCCAATGTCTAGTTTAATTTTGAATTGTCCCCTTTACAGTTCTTGAAAGGTAGCCATGCCTTTGCATTGAAGCAAGACATACGGTTAGCTTGCAATGATAGAGACATATGAATAACTATCCAAGGTGTTAAAAAAGGTATCTATCATTGCAAGCTCACCGTTTATCTCCCTTTGATGCAAAGGCATGGCTACCTATTCAAGATGGCACAGGGAATTGTGAAGGTGACTATTGAACATGTTTCACGGACCAGGTTTTAACCTTATGGACCACTAGTTTAAATTTCCTAATACAATTGGTTTTTGTGATCATTAGCATCTAACTTGGGGGCCACTCTGCATGGACACAATAGTCTTTTCATCTACCCTAGAGGGGTAATTCAATGTGCCATACAGAGGAACAAGATATTCTAAGTGGCCCTCAAAATTGAGGATATGAAATAGCTGGATAATATCTAGACTACAGTATTTAACATTCACCAACCAAACCAAAGCCTTTTTTTACAAAAGGGAAGGAACAAATATAAAAAACAAATGAAAATATGGCAACTGATTTCAATGAATGAGTTTTTCAAAGGAAAAAATATTGTTATGAAACATTTTAGCATATCTGTCCCCCCCCTCAACTAAACACTAGATTATTTACTTCTGATGTCATTATGAAATGGGTCAATTAAGAGGTATATAGCCCTAATGACACCTAAACTTTCAAATAAACCAATATAAAGTATCACTCTTCTCTAATACAGTAATTTTTAGATAAAAATAGGTTTAATAATTATCGAAATTTGTCCTTCAAGTTTTGAAAGGCTGTTTCACATCTGCTTAGAATAGGATCAAAAGAAATTTTTCTCTTTGTTTGTCATAGCAATACATCAATATTCATGGGACAAGCCAGGTACTGAACATGTCATGCGAGTAATTAGATTCACAGAATAACCACTACTTGTTAAATAACAAGAACTGTTTGACATCAAAATGTAATTAACAACAAAATCTTCAAATATCGAAAAGACCAATATTGCTCCAAGCTAGTGAAATTTAATGGCTCACTATTTAATCCATAGGTTAGTGGTCACATAGGTCACAGTAATCTGCTGGGATACTGGATTTATAGACATTACCAGCCCATTGCTTAGTATTTGAAAAACTTTCTGAAAGATCTTTTGGTTTGAGAATTTCTAGAGGAAAACGTTTTTATGAAATCAAAAATTTAAATCTTAGTTTTATTTTCTGTTTTATTTTCTTAATGGTGATTGATTTTACATGAAAATAAAAATTCAAAATCATTAAGAGCCTTTTCATACTTAAGTTTGAGAAACAGAACTTCAATTAAACAAACATTTAGGAAAATAAGGTGAAGTGTTTGCCATGTTCAATAGTTTCATTGATGATCGTAAAAATTAAATGCCAAGTTTGTTTTCTTCAAAATGCTAATTTTTTTCCATCTAGACAAGCCAAGAGGTCTGTTTGATGACTAAGATTAAAGGACTTCATAATTATTTTGCCTTACATAAAATATTCTGATCTCTAGATGTGGATCTTTGGAAAAATACAATATCTTCAAAATCAAGAAAAACTTTTAATTTATTTGATGAAAATATTACATTTTCAGTAATAGAATTTTTCAGGTCCTTCCTTTTTAGGAAAGTTGTTAGAAAGATAGCAGTTTAGAGGATGATTTTTTAGAGTAAAAATTGTTTGTCTCATGATAAAAATATTCTTAGTGCAGGAACATTAATTTGAAGACCAGCAGAGCTGGTGGTTCAAAATAACTTGAGAATTATCTTTGTTTTCACTTATATAACACTCTAAGAAAATAAATATTCCATCATGATGAGTTACCTATAGACTCTTATCTGATACAGTGAAATTTCCAAACAATTTCAAGACAGACTTGATGTTTTCAATTTTCTTTGTTTTCATGTTTTTGCTGCACTCATAAAAGAGTTAAACCAGGGATACTGCTTTCTCACATTTTTCTAGTTTGCACAGTTTAAAAAAAACACCTCTAATATGAATGGATTCTTAAACCATCAATGTCTACTAGATCATTTTCTCCCCTTAAAAATTACAATTCCTCTCCTTCTGGTTAAAGTTATGTTAAGCAGAGAAGAATAAAACCTTCCATATATTTAAATATCAACATGGAGACAAAATAATATAAAGCATCAAGAGTATATGCATTTATTATGCAATAAAAATGACAACTATATTTCTTTTTCACACAAATATTTCTCTCTCATGTCCAATGCAGTCCCTAAGCGATTTCCATGTCTGCCTAAGGCAATAACAAAATTTAATATACGAGGAATAATTGTAGTATTTCTATTGCAATTTGCATTTTATGTAATCCAAAATAATTTTTTTTCCATTCAACATTAACCTCACAGTAGCAACCTGTGAGACATTGCTTATTAAAAATGCTAAATGCAATCTTATCAAACGAAGGGCAAAATTGCTTGAGGTTAATAGCTAGACAAGGAATGTTTCACCTAAGTTTAAGGTAAAATTACTAGTGATTGCACACAAATAGATTTTGGTATCACGCATGGGGCAGTCGTGTCCAGAATTTGAAAATGCTAGTGAATTTAATTCTTATGCTTCTCAATACTCATGAAAATTGCTTTTCTTTCAATAACACAATAAAAAGCCTATCTAAAACTTACTGCAAAGATCTTGTAAAAATGCTAAATATGATACTGACTTAGAACAGGTGAAAATGAATAAAATAAAACCAAAGAAGGAATTCTTTACATCACCTGCCTTGAGAAAAATAATATTCCACCATAATGCAAGAAGCATATTGTTTACATTATGTTAATCTCAAGCTAAACAAAGCACTAACAATGTTGTCTGCAGCTTTCACTCCACCATCTAAATAACAGGAAATTCTATATCTGGTTAAATACAGGATATTTCTCCTTTACATGCAATCAAAATAGTTTTACAACCCCACAAAAAATTAATGTAGTGAAACTATGATCAACAATTTTTCTTCATAAGAATTGCTTTACGATTGACAAGTGTAATTTATTCTTATAACGTCACGCTTTGTGTCAGATTCGAGTATCTGTCAAAGTTTTTTCTTCCGAAAAAAAATTCCACGAAAAAAATTTCGTGTCTTAGATGCAAACCATAACTTACAAGTTAAAATTACTTGAAGAGAACTTAGGAATACGAATATCTAAGCTTTTGGATAACTTCAATGTTAATCGTGCATTAAAGCAGGGATAGCAAACAAAGCGCGAAAGTTACAACAATAGATCGCTACTCAAAATCGATGTTTCGACTTAAAAATATTTCTTGCAAAAGAAATTTTTGAGCTACAATCTTCTTTACCTTGACCACCAGCCTCGCTTTGTAATATAGTGCCCCACGTTTTTGCATGTGCTTCGGATTTTTCTTGTGTAGTCGTTGTCGTGTCTTGTCGCGTTGGCCCCGAGCTTTGCGACTGTGGTTGAGTTGCCGGTTGTGAAGAGGGGTAGGATGATGGTTGTATAGGCCGCTGAGGCTGCAGCAGAGGCTGCTGTGTAGTTGGCACACTTCCTTGTGATGTCTGAGGAGCTGGAGTTGTAGAAGGTGATGAGTTCTGTGGAGCTGATGACTCGGTTTTCTCTTTCGCACTTCCCCATCCTCCTCCACCGCTTGGTACTAAACTTACTGTTGGGTCGTTACCAGAATTCTCGCTTTTCAAAGATGGTAAGTTCGCTGGAGGAGGAATTCGCCGACTGGATCCGATCTTACCCAGACTCTGTAATCCATGGCGAGTTGCCCCTACAATATACCAAAAATTCATTAGAGTAACTGTGTATTTTATCTGCGCAAGAAAATAATTTTCCCTTACAACAAACTACGCTTGTATTCAGCTACGCAGTTGCAAAAGAGAGACCAAGAAACGACGTTAAAAACCAAAATAATTAAGCCAACATAATAAACGTTCAAGATATCCTTTATGTTTTATTATATAATTGAGTTTTATAGCCTCAAATTATAGATAAGCGCATAAAATACAAGTACAAACCTGTGGAAGTTTTGATTTCTACTTTGTTGCCTTTGTATGTCTGGTTTAGGTTAAGTGAAGAATACTTCGGCTTCCCTGCATTTTCCTTTATTTTAGCAGCCAAACGGTCGGACATTCTGGATAGGCAGTCATGAAGGAAATAAGTAAGAAAAGCCTAAATTTTAATGTGCCTGCAACGTAGTAGTTTCGTGCAACTCGCCAGCAATGGCGGAAAGGGCGGCAAATCCAGTAAAGTCCACAACTAAACGATGCCCGTATTTGAGATAATTCGTCACAAAGACCTCAAGCTAGGTGTTATCTAACGTCCGATGTATTTCTTCTGCTTATAAAATGGACTGTCTGTCCAAGGATTGTTGTAGATGGTAAGGATGGAAATTTCAAAGCCAAGATGGTGGTAAACGACAACGTCAAGCCAGCGGTGAGATTAAAATTTTATGCGAACTAGTTTCACGATGAATCTTACATGACGTACCTTGCTGCCGACACGTCACCGAACAACGCCGAATCTTTCCGATGCCTTTCCGAAGGTGCAGTACACGAAATATTTGGAAACAGTATGTAGTACATACACAAAGAATAAATATAAAATCAAATCAAATTCTTGCAGCGCATACAATACGAGCGTTTTTTCGTTTAAAGCAAAAGCGATGGACAAGTGATTTAATACTAGGATCGTGAACGTGACCTGATATTCGAATGACTGAAGTCACGTCGTTTCGTCATATACCCACCACGTACCTACCTATGCTACTTAAAATATCTAAAATGATTTAAGCAATTCGTCTTTTTAAACGTCATAATACAGTCAGGGACACACATGACAAACATCTTATATAAGAAATTACTCTTACCAAGGTCAACCAAACGTTGTCATGGAAACAACACCAAAAAGTCTAAGCGCTGACCGACGACGCAAAGCTGAGGAACTGAGGGTTTTTTTCGTTATTTGCATAAAGATAAAAATTGAGCGTGATAGACTGCATGATTCTTGAAGTTTCCTTTCCATCAACTTTTTCCTCTCCCCCTTTTTATTCTTTGTTTTTCCTGATATATTTTTTTAGGTCATCTGTCAGCCATGCCTCGGTAGCCAGCGAAGGAGGGTGAAATACTCGATTTATCTTGACTGGTGACGCAATGAAAACTACGTGTGGAACAAAAACAATCTAGCTCATTCGTGATGACTATCCCGAAACAGATAAGTTCTCGGGAAGGAATGTTTAGTCTATGTCAGACTTTAGCTGGTCGTTTCCGTTTGCAAGAAGCGAAATGTCGTTGAATCCGGTCTTCAATCATTTTCCACATGTTTAATGAAGGGAAAAACAAAGTGTAGGTTGTGGAACAATGCATGGGTTATTTTACGAAGCCGGTAGGGGATTGTTTGGTGTGTTTTCCTGTCCAGCTAAAACTATTGTAAAAATGAACATTTCCTGAACGATGAAAAAATCATAAGGGGAAGGATGTGTGGAATGGAATTAGGGTAAGCGTATCGAGGTCCCAGAAATTAGGGGGAAGGGGAGAGGAAGTCACCCACAATCAAAAATAAACAAATAAATAAATAAATAAATAAATAAAAATAAAAACGAAAAGAAACAAACATTATCTTATATTTTTTAATAAACAATAATTTCAATATTTTATTCTTTTATATATTTTTTAAAGAAAATAATTGTAATTCGTAATCTAGTCTTAGAGTAATTTTGAATATTGACATTAAAAATTATGCAAATTTGAAAGTAAATTTTCTTAACTCAGTTTTACAGATATTACAGTTAAAAGTTTGATTTTCGTTTGAACTGAAATAAGGTCCAGTTCATACGTCGAACTTTTACGCGTCAAATCTAATTGACATCTGATTCAAACGTCGCATTTAACCGTAGCCGCCGAGATATTGAGCCTTTAAAATAGACGCATTGCATTTCGCGCGACGAAAAGTCGACGTTTGAATCAAGCTAGACCACAATGCAGCATGCTCGCTATCTTTATATGGTGCATAGAACTACAAACGAAAGGTTTCCCTTTTTACCGTGGTCATAAACAGTCGAGAGCTGAGAACCTGTTCCAGACCTGATATAATCCCAAAAACACTGCCTTATCTGTGTTTGTTGTAGTCGATACCTGAAATTTTAGCTCTACTTTCACTGATTTCACTAAAGACCCTAACACTCAATCAATATCAAAGTTCTTCTTTTTTACTTAGAACATCATCAGGAACGATACTTTCCGTTTCAGTGTCACTGAAGTAACCATGGTCGCCGATGTAATGGGTTGGGTAGATCAGTAAAGGTTCCGCTGTCATGGCAACCAGATTCCTTGGCTCGAAGTAGCTGGACCATTCCTTACTGCGCATGACAAAACATTTAAGGGATGCAAGCAAATAATTTATTAATATCATTAATGCACTCTTATCGATAGAGTAGAATTCGTATGAGTATTGAAAAAGTTAGCGTGCGTGACATGGTCACAGTACAATAGTGACGTCATTCGTTAAACCAAACACAGCGAGGTCACTAATCATCCAAAGAGAATTCTTGGATAAGGCACAATTACGGTACCATGAGATTTTGAGGTCACGCAAAACACCTAACACAGCGAGCGAGGTCACTAATCATCCAATGAGATTTCTTGGCATATGGCACAATCACGGTACCGTGAGATTTTGTGGTCACGCGAAATCATGCGAATTCTACTCAAATAGGACAAATAAATAAAGTACAAAATATGATAAAAATTCAAGCTTAACGACAAACACCGTGTGGGATTAGATATTTGAAATTCATTTTATGTTTGCTGGACAAAAAATGCTTTAGCATTCGCACTGATCATTCAAAACGTATCACATTACTTTTGAGTGAGGAACATACAGGGCACGATGACGTCACAACACCACAATGACGTAAAAGGATGAAGACAGCAGCTCACTTTAGAAACGCGTTTGGGACTGGGGAGAACATTAACTTGCTAAGGCTTCAGGGATGGTTACTAATACGCTTGTAGTTTTGCTGGGCTTCAACTGATGTCATTTCCTGTCTCATGAGAAATGTTCTTCAGCTAAATAGCACATGGTGGTCAGTGTTTGACCGCCACTTGCAGCAGATAATAAGATTCAAAGACTTTTCTCAGTTGATTGAAATCCAGCAATTTACATTGTTTTCCGTAAGTCAACTGCTGAACTGTGGTCCACAGGCTCGAGTAAAAATCCCAGATGCCCTTGCGCTTCGAACTTTTATCCAGTACCAAAACCTTTGAGTCTAAAGTGAGGTTCTCCCTTTGCACAAATGATACGAATGATACATACGCAGATAATCTTTAGTCCATTTTTCTTTTCATGCATTGTAACAAGACTGCTAATCGATTGTGGTGGCTTAAAGCTAGCTGCATTCAAAGAGCACATTTATGCAAAGACACATGAACATGCATCGACACAGTGGCACTCGTAAAAATCTACATGCAAAAACTATAACACTAATGCTGGCTGGCATTCATCGGAAAGGCACATGGAATTAAGATACAGGAGAAAAACAGTTCGGATTGTGAGAAAGAGAAGAGAACAAAACGAGATAGTGGGATATAGGGTTGGACAATATTGGTGTAGGTTGGTCTGCGAACAGAAGTATACTTTGCTAGAGCTTTTAGGCTCTTTATTTACAATGCGCATGCTCCCACCTCTAAGATCTTTAAGCGACTGCGTTTTAATGTTATGGGTACGCGTGATATCTTCAAAGCGGTGCAAAGGATACTAGCTAAAAAGATGGGGGTAAAGAAGTATGGAGGTATGAAATAATTGTGGAATAATGCGTGACAGTAACGTGACAGTTGCGTGACTTACTTAGGATGGCGGTCATACATTACTGGTAGAAACTCATCCACTGCCATCATTTTAACCAAAGGCTTAGCCGATATCAGTTTTCGAGCGCCTTGAAGGTTAATCATGTACCCCAAGGTCCACCAGGTATAATTGACCCAATTTAAGTAATTAGACCCATCCACTGTGTCAATGATTTCTGTCTTCATCCTTCTGCGCCCTAAATAACTAATACCAGATAGATATTCATAAATTATATATAAATATATAGATGACACAGGGTTCCCAGCAGGGCGATATATAGTCGGCTGGCAAAACTGTAGCCAACCAAGTATTGCCCCACCCTACTTCCCATCCCATATAACTACCCCTCCCCCTGGCTTCCCCCCTGACTTACTTGCTGTGCCGGTTATACATTATGGGTAGGAATTCGTCTAAAGCAAGCATGCGGTGAAGAGGTCGTGCAGCGATAAGCTTGCGTGACCCGCTTAAAGAAAGTATGTATCCTATGGTCCAATACGAATAATCAGCCCATGCAATACGGCTGCCATTCCCGATTAGTTCAGCAGAATCGTCTAGGAATTTTTTACGGCCTAGATAGCTGAGCCAAATAAAGTACGGTTATTATTGAATGGTTCATGCAGTAAGTGTGGTCAGCGGATGCTTCCTTGAAATCAGCACGCTTTGGCGCGTGAATGAGAAATCAGCCTGGAAATCAGTTCGTGATGTATTTACGGTTCCATTTAAATCGGGCAGAATCTTTTGAAAGGGAAATTTTGTGCAACCCCTCCTGCATTAGATGTGTTAAAGTCTTAACCCGCGCTCATGACATCACAACAAATCTAACATCTTGCATGATTGAGCCCTCGTTCTTTTGACATGCGGTTAATGCTATAGATACATGCACATTGATTTCCCCATTCTTTTCAGTGCTGCATGAAGTACATGCAAATTGTTAGCCATTTTCCACATTTGGGTATTTAATGCACAACACTAACAATAATGGCTCCAGCAGTCTTCCTTAATGGGTGGGCAGGGGCGTAGCGAGGACGCAAATGCCCCCAAAGTAAAATATAGTGACTTGTAGGCCATTAAATAAATGATTGCAATAATTGAGATGACGAAGATCATGATGATCATGATTATTATCATTGGTCGTAATAACGATGATGGGGCTAATATGTGATTAAATATGTTTGAATAAATAAATAAACAAATAAATAAATAAATAAATGAATAAATTGACAAATAAAAAAATAATAAAAATGATGATGATGATGGTAATGTTGGCGATAGTGATGTCGCACGACGATGATGATGCATGATGATGGTGATGGTTATGATGCATGTTTATGATGATTGTTATGATGATGGCTATGATGATGGTTATGATGATGGTTATGATGATGGTTATGATGATGGTTATGATGATGGTTATGATGATGGTTATTATGATGGCCATGATGATGGTTATGATAATGGCTATGATGATGGTTATGATGATGGTAATGGTGCATGGCGACGATGATGGTAATAACGGTGATGGTGATAATGTTAGTGATGACGGTGAAAATGATGCACGATGGTAAAACAGTAGTCTCCTTCGCAGCCATTTTCGTCTCGTTCCATTCCACTACGGTCCCCTTCTGTCCAAGACTAAAACAGCTGCGAGGGAGACTAGTAAAACAGCGATTTGCTCCATGGAAGTGAATCATGATGATACGAGAACTGAGTAAAATAACTAAACGACCGCCTGATGTATAACGAGATGTACGAGATACCCGGTCACATGGTACTTACATCAATTCCCAAGGGTATTTGTCCCGAATTTGAAAAGCTTCATCGAGAAACGCTTCCACCTTCCGGCGAAAGTTAGACTCAAAACGGACATCATCTTCAAGTACTAACACATTGTTCAACCCTTTGTTGAGCATCTGAAAAAAGCATTGAAAAAAAAAGTAAAAAAAAAAACATTATGAAAAAATTATTTAAAATGAAATTTTGAATTAACAAAATTTAGAAGCGAAATTTGATCTGGTTGAAGCAAAGTTACTACTGTTAAACGAATAGCAAAGACTTCCGGAAGGACGCAAATACACAAAAATATCGATATCACTATCGGTAGAGAGTATCAAGTGACCCACCTCTTCCCAAATAAAGTAATGACTTAGAAAGCAGCCAATTTCTCCCATTGTCAACGCTCTACGACAAAAGAAAAGTATWAAAAAAGTTCATCAAGTCAAGACGATATGAGCTTTTTCTATTATGGTATTGTTCCATTCAAACTCTCACGCTCCATTGCGAGGCTAATAGGGCAACATATGATTACGTATGCAGCCCCTTGGTTTAGAATGGGAGGACAAAATACATGTGCGCCATGTTGGTTGACATAAAATGAAAGTGAGAGCATATCGTTTGTCTGTCATCCAACATGGCGGCTAAGACGTCACATACACAAGGTAAAAAGAGATGATCACCATGCTGGTTGTTATAACAAATGAAGCTGTTTGTCATTCAAAATGGCGGCTATGACGTCATGACACATCTACTTGGGAGAGAATGAATGGACATAAGATATGGTCGCCATGATATTGGATGATATAACAAACGAAGCTGAGAGCATATTTTGTCATTCAACATGGCGGCGAAAGCCGATAACAGGTTATTATTATTTGGTGTAATGACTTACCTTTTACTGTATGGGTCAAAATATCCCGGTAACATCTTGATTCCCATCTCTTTGATCTGATCGATTGTCAAAGAGCTACGAATAGAAAAAAATGGTTCATTGTCATTTATTCGTTTTCTACCTATCTACCTAACAGTGTCTGTCTGTCTGTCTTTTTTGAGTGTCTGTCTGTTCGTCTGTAAGAGTCTGTTTTTCTGTGTCTATCTGTCTGTGTCTATATGTCTGTCTGTCTAATAATGCCTGTATGAATGTCTGTCTACTAGTATCTGAGTACTTGGCTGTCACTGTCTGTCGGTCACTATCTGTCTGTGTTGATTCGTTCAGTCATCTTTTCTGATGCATATTTCGAACTTACTTTCCATCTACAGCGTCCACTAACTTTACGTCGATCCCCAGCTCTTTCAACGAAGCCAACATGCGTCTTCTTCTAAGCGGCCGTCGCTTTAGATTAATCATATAAATCTGGAGACAAAAAAGAGTCAGGACGAAATGCGCGTTAAGTCAAAAACCTGTTGCCTTCCATGCACGATCGACTACAATTTGAGAAGTGTTGAATTCGTTCAGTGGGATATTGCGGAGGGTGGGAAACCGGGAACCCGGAGAAAAACCCTAGAAGCATAGGAGAGAACAAACAAATATGATAGCGATAGAATCCATAACCACATCAGTGAAAAGCCACATTAGCAGCGCGACGGAATTAGCAGATGTAATTTCAAAGATACCGTCGTAGCACCTTCTCCGCAGTTGGTCTATAGAGCAGTTTTCTTATGACTGTGAAAAGCTTAGTGCCGTGCCGTGCCGTGCCGTGCCGTGCCGTGCCGTGAACGTAATATTTTCTAGAATTTTAATTGGCTGATTTTTTTTCTCGCGCAATGTGATTGGTCTGAAAGTGCCGTGACTTTGGCGTGACCGTGTCCGCGCCGTGTTGATGCCGTGTTCCGGGCATTTGATTGGATGGAGAGTACATTCTCGAGCAATGTGATTGGTCTGGCGTATGCCTTGCCGTGTCACGACTGTGTTCGTGAAGTCAGCTTTTCAGATAGTCATACGAAAGCCGCTCTAAGTGATGGTCCGGCCGGGACATACACCACATAAACCCATGATCGCCCGTGACGGGTAAGGGATTCTATTGTCTTACCTCGTCCAATCCTAGCTTGTCTTGTTTGATGGGTTTGATGCTAACATGAGGACTGACGAGCATCAGTTCTTCTGGATGGTCAACTATGAAACACCGTCATCGTTAGGATATTGGCTGACGTTTGCATGGAAAAMCGCTTAAAGCTTGCACGCAATCATAACTGAGGAGGAGTAGGGCGGATTGGGTGGCATGCCAGATCCCCTCTGAATTTTCGAATAAATTTAAACCAGACAGACAGACAGACAGAC